AAAAAAAAAAACATCTCTTGAGGTTGCCATTGTCAGCCAGGGTTGTGGTTTCATCTGAAGGCTCCTCTGGGAGGGACCAACTTCCAAGCTAACTCACATGGCTATTGGCCAAGTGTCTGGCTTCATGGGTGTCTCTACAGGACTGTTTCATGACATGGTAGCTTGCTTCTCCAAGAATGAGAGAAAGCAACAGAGAATATGCCCAAGATGGAAGCCACTGTCTTTTTATAACCTAATCTCAGAAATAAAATCTCATCACTTCTGCTGTATCCCGTTATAAGTGAGACCAACCTACACTTAATGGGAGGGTATTACACAAGTGTGTGACGGGTAGGAGGTGGGGGTCACTGGCGGCCATCTCAGAGGCTGCCTACCACTGGTAGTTTCCCATTACACACTCAGCTGGACTTCAAGGGAAACTCTCTGCAGATCTTTGGAGTTCTGTCTTTATGCAGCTCTCTTCTCTCTGGTTCCCTGCTCTGTGGACTGTAGCTGCCTTGTGCTCCCCTATGTCTTCTGTCTCATCAATTCAAGGAGATTGCTCGGCTCCATCTGAATTCCCCCTCCCTGCCCCATGGCCCAGAAAATCTTTAGGCAGCAAGCTGAGGCAGTAGTAGGGCTCACCTCATTTGTTTTCTGTCTTGTGTGGATGATTGTCCTTTATTGCCTGATGTTCAATGTCTTTTTTTTTTTTTCTTTTTTTTTTTTTTTGAGACAGGGTCTCACTCTGTCACCTAGGCTGGAGTGCAGTGACCCAATCATAGCTAATTGCAGCCCTGACCTCCTGGACTCAGGCAGTCCTCCTGCCTCTCCTGAGTAGCTGGGACTATAGGTGTGAGCCATCACGCCCACCTAATTTTTCATTTTTTTTGTAGAGATAGAGTCTCACCGTGTTGCTTAGGCTGGTGTTGAACTCCTGGCCTCAAGGGATCCTCCTACGTCAGCCTCCCAAAGTGCTGAGATTACAGGTGTGAGCCACCACACCCATCTTTCAATGTCTTTAAAACAATTTTTTTCATAAATGTTGTCCAATATTTTCAAGTAGAAGAGAAAATTTAGTCCCTGTTATTCCATCTTGGCTGGAAGCAAAAGCAGAAGTCTAGATCTGTGTTTTTAATAGTTGAGTTTTATTGTATTATATGCATATATCATAATTTAATTACCTTTTACAGATATTTTGAATTCTTTTTCAAATGTTTACCCTACTGTGGCAAATTTCCTGGTGTGCTTATCTTTGCATCTGTGTGCAAGGAAACGTATTAGACAAATTCTGAGAATTACTGGATCAAATAGTTCAGCAGTCCCCAACCTTTTTGGCACCAGAGACTGGTTTCGTGGAAGACAATTTTTTCACAGATGGGGGCAGGTGGTGACGGTTTTGGGATGAAACTGTTCCACCTCTGATCATCAGGCGTTAGATGGAGCACACAACCTAGATCCCTCTCATGCACAGTTCTCAACAGGGTTTGTGCTCCTGTGAGACTCTAATGCCGCCACTGATCTGATAGGAGGCGGAGCTCAGGTGGTAATGCTCATGCTCCCGCCACTCATCTCCTGCTGTGCAGCCTCATTCCTAACAGGCCATGGACCTGTACCAGTCCATGATAGATATTGTCGAAGTGCCTTTCCGAAAGATCATTCTCAGGGCTTTTTATGTGTATTTTGTTAAGCCAGATCTACTCCTTGTGGAATTTGGATTTATTCCCATTAACATTAATTTGAGGGGCCAGGCACGGTGGCTCACGC